ATATATATATATATATATATATATATATATATATATATAATAGAAACACAAAAAAACAATTAAAAAAAATACAGAAGTGTTAAATAAAATAATCATATTCAATTCATCTAGTAAATTCTGTACTGTATAGGTATTTGACACTTTAATATGTCAAGTCAGGACAACAGTTAAGTGTCTCTAACTACTTTACATGAGGAATGGTGAGCCTAGTTATAGTCACCGATTAATGTTAACTTAAGGTAAATGGAACTCTAGACATCATGTTGTGGTGATCACGATGCTGAACACCTCTGCCTCAAGTATGTTTTATCTAAAAGCATTGGCCATTCTGCCTATTCCTTTGCCTCCTGTGAATCAAATGGAAATTAAACTACTTACTGCCACTTTCTAAATTGTTTTATGGTCTCCTTAGCTTTCTCTGCAATTAGATGGCTGCCTTGTGCCTTCTTTAATTCCTCTCTACAGGAAATTATACTCTCTTCTTATGAAGCCACATTTAAGTACGTGACCATATCATAGATGCAAGAAGAACTTCATCCAAGAAATAATGGTCAACACCACACCAACAAATATACCATCCCTTGCTCAAAAACCAGGTGGCAATGCATATATACACTGTAGAGGTAGTGCATGACCTCCAAAAGTTGTATGCAATAAGTCAAGGTCAGATCTTGTGATCTTTGGAGTAATTATTCTATTAATACAAAAATTTAGGGTGCGTTTGGCTGGACTAGGAAAGGGAAATTTTACTATTTCTTTACCTTGCTTGTGCAGGATATATATAGCTGAAACTCATTTGTCACCATCCCATATTAAACCCTGTGATAATGCCACAACTTAGGGCATTAACAAAAATAGTGGAAAGAAAAAGAAAATATTATTTTTCCTGTGTTATAGATTAGCAGTATTATGACTATTATGAGTACACCTGAAGGCTCAGTCCAAACTTGCCCTTAAATGTTAATCTTGGTTACAATAAAACAAGTATCTTTTGTAGAAAGTCTTAGAAAGAAGCAATGCATAGGTTTATAATTTGCTTATAAATCGATGAGATTCCAATTTGTCAATTTTGAAAACGCATGCAAATTTAAGACATCTAAAATATTAAATCTATTGAATACGGACCATGGATTTGTTTTGAAATTACCAGAGAATTCTTTTTCCAAACAGATAATTTTTTATGGAATTGCGTTACTGGAAATTAATATCGGACTTGACAAGGAGGAAATACAAAATAGTAACCATAGAAGTGAATCACAATTGCGATCTCAAGTCAAAGGGCCGTAACCCGGTGCTAGTCCCACCTAAGCAGGGTCCCGGGAGGGGTGGGCTGGAAACGATCCTAATCTTTGGCTTATATACAAAGTGCCTACTCTCAAGACTCAAACTCGTGCTCTTGCGCTGGCTACCCGAGCTTTTTACTGTCACGCCAAGTGCCAGCCCTTAATTGTGATCTCAAGTATTTTACTAAAAAATGATTAATAAAATCATCCTCATTTTCACTACCATCAGTTGGATATATTCATGTTGATTGTCTACACAGATAAAATGACAAAAAATCAATCCACTAAGCCATTGTATCATTCTCTGGAATTTGAATAGACAGAATGAACTAGGTTATTGCATTTTTCTGGAAATTTTGAATATACACCACTGTTGTCGTATAGCCATATCAATTACAACTGAGAATAGGGTTGAGTCAACGTGGTGATCCGGTGGGTCGAACCTACCCAGGTCGGGGTCTAGCGTAGACCTTCAACCCAACCAAACATGTGTGTTTGTGTTCAATCGCGGTCTGACTCAACCAAACATGTGTGTGTTTGTGTTCAACCGCGGTCTGACTCAACCCGGCATGCCTACTATGATCCTGACCAAGAACAGGCTCATTTACACTCCCATTTTCAATTTCAAGGTTTTACTTTCCAGTTGAGAAGAGTGTCGGAAGTTTCACAAGGGGGACACATGTATTCTTACATTCACCTGATGCACTTTATGTATTACTTTCCAGGCTACATTAGCCATATCAATAAAATCCTTTATGCTTGGAATAATGTACAATAGCCTCTGCCAATGAAGGTCTAACAAAATTGCATAAATAAGGTCCTGATCTTCCAGGCTTCCCTTCACTACCATTTGAATTTGGATGTTCTGATTTTCAGCTCTATCTTGATTCACCAGTATATAGAAAATAAACTATGAAGTCACTTTGGCCTTTTTTAATCCTTGTGTTTCTTCCTCATTTTATTTATTTATTTATTTTTTTAAGCAAACTGGTTGGAATGAGGAACGAATTGGAAACCTGAAGGCCCCTTATTCAAGCAATATACAATCCTCTGTTCTTTCCTCTTTTTTCTCCCATGTCTCAATTTCTAACACACATGGACCCAAACCCCTCACCCCCTATCTCTCTCACTTTCTCTCTTCTAATCAAAGTTTGGGGGAGTGTCTCTGGTGAAGCCACCGCTTCAAGGTCAATTTTTCCGTGTGTCATTCTCAACAATCTTGTGGGTATCTTGGTGAATTTACCTTCTCATCTTCTTCGCCTCTTTTGTTTACCAGTAATCACTACAAGAACATGATCCAGCCTTAAAATGATGAAACCGGATTGCATCACGCAGAATGATCTCTCGGGAAGTGACCTTTGATATAAACTTCATCACAACATGGCAATCCCCACAAATCCGCAAATTCTTCATCACCTTGATTGGCGCCCCCTCGGGCAAAGAAATCATACCAAAAACAACAGCCAGCTTTTCACTATGATATCTCGCAGGGTTTTCCTTTCCCTCTTTATCTCTACCATAGGACCCAATTCCAACAGCCTCTGGCACATATCCAGCCACCTCGATTTCACTGAATAATGTCTCCAATTTCTCATAAATTGCATTTGTTCTTGGGTGCCCTCGGTCACCTACCACAAAGCCATGCACTGAGCCAGAGGCCTCAATCCAACTGAGCCCGGGCTCCTTCTTCACACCCCTTGAGCCCATCAACTCACGAATCATCATGGCTTGATCATGCAACCCAGCCTCCATATACATGTTATATAGCAACACATAGGAGGCAGAGGCCATGGGCTCAAGCCTCATGACCCACTCACCTGCATACTGAGCCATGGTCAAGTCCTTATGGACTCGAGATGCACCCAATAGAGCCTTCCATAGAACAGGGTCATTTTCAAAGCCAGAGCTGAGTATGAACTCTTTGGCCTCACTGAGCCTACTGGCTCGACCAAGTAGGTCCACTACACAAGCCACATGCTTTTCACTGGGTTCAAGCTTATGGTCCTTTGTCATGCTCTTAAAGAGCCCTAGGCCTGAGTCCACTAGGCCTGCATGGCTACAAGCCGTGAGCACAGAGAGGAAAGATACTTGGTTAGGTGCTACAGTAGACCCACACATCTCATTAAACAATGCTAGGGCATCATGGGCTTGACCATGGTGTGCATAAGCCATGATCAAAGCCGACCATGTGACCACATCGGGCACAGGGGCCTCATCAAAAGCCCGGCTTGCTAAGTTGGCATCGCCAGCCTTGGCATACGCACATATGAGTGCGTTAATAATTGGTGTGAACCCAGCAAGTCCGGACTTGGTTACGCATGCGTGCAATTGCTCGCACCCACGACACACACACAGCTCAGCACAAGCGCTGAGTGCACTTGATGTGGCATAATGATCAGGCCTTGGGCCGCCACATTGAACCAAGCCCTTGAAAAGTCTAAGGGCCTCTTCAAACCTAGTGTTTAGAACATAGCCCGATATCATTGAGGTCCACAAGACCACGTCTTGTTTAGGCATCGAATTGAACCATTTTGCACCGTCTTCAACGTCCCTGGCTTTCGAGTACATATCGACTATAGCACTTCCTATGAACTCATCTGAGCCCAATTGGCTTTTTAACACAAGTCCATGAGCTTGGCGCCCAAGCCCACTTGAACTCATTTCCGAACAAGCCCTAAGCAAGCTCGAGTAAGTGAAACTCGTGGGTTCGACCCCTTGAGCCCGCATCTCTGAGAAAAGCATGACTGCTTCTCTCACAAGGCCAAGCCCGTCTCCGTTAGGCTCCGACACTTGTCTTAAGAATCCAGCCATCATAGCATTGTATGTAATGGCATTTGGATACAAGATTGAGCCAAATGCTATGCGGGCATGGCCCAGGAGCCCAGCACGCGAGTACATGTTGAGCAATGCACAACCCACAATCACACACGAATCTAACCCTAATTGTAAAATACATGAGTGTAATTGCACTCCGAATTTGTGTCCGACCTCACTGCAAGCCTTGAGGCCACTACCAAACACAAAGCTACTCATCCTCTCACTAGCCTGATGCATTGAGGCTATCACTCTCAAGGCCTCGATATAGAGCTGGTTCTTTACATAGCCTGCGACTAAGGTGTTCCACGTGACCTCTTCTTTCTCTAGAACTCGGTCGAAAATATCTTGGGCTTGATCGACTCGACCACATTTGGAATACATGTCTATAAGGGAGTTAGCGATGAAAACAGGGAGGTCCAACCCTGTTAAGATAACAAGACCATGAATTGCCAAGCCCAATTTCAGATCCCTTGTTCGAGAACTAATGCCAAGGGCAAGTGAAAAAGAGAAGCGATCAGGCTTCAAATTCGATACCAGAGCTTGGCGGAAAACTTCCATGGCTTTTTGAGGATTACCCAATTGAGAATGGCCAGAGATCAATGCATTCCATGAAATAGTTCCTGGTTCATCAATGGAATCAAACACATGATGTGCATAATCCATCGGGCCACATTTGCAGTACAGGTTTAAGAGTAGATTTTGGAAGAAAATACATGGTTTTGGTCTTGATGAGTTCTTGATCAAGTGGGCATGGATGAGCTTACCATCTCTCAAGGATTTGGTTCTGGTGCAAGCTTGAAGGAGGTCCTTGTAAGAGAGAGAGGCTCCCGAGGTAGAGAGAGAAAATGGAGCTTGACCCACTTCATGGAGAGAGATTGAAACACTAGTGGTGTATTTTCTGGTGATTTTGAAGTAGAAGAAGCACTCTGAGAACCCAATCATGTATTTGCAAAACGATGACATTTTTGTGGGTTGAATCACAGTAAAATGTTATGGGGGTAACAACAAGCAATTCGGGTGATGGAAATTGGTCTAGTGAGAAAGAGAGCATGTTGGTATTGGTGGTGGAGAAGGCAAGTAGTCATTCACAAAACTCCCCTGAAGCTTCTCTTAGAAATAGGATTTCCTACTCTCTATCTAAAAATTCTCCTCTCTCTCTCTAAACAGAAAGAACGGTTGTGGAACTTGAACTGGAGAGCTCAGTCCCTCATCTCTCTTTAGCCCAGTCTCCCCCTCTCTCTCTCTAAATAGAGAGAACTGTCGTGGAACTTGAACTGGAGAGCTCAGTCCCTCATCTCTCTCTAGCCCAGTCTCCCTCTCTCCCAGCTGAATGGGAGGGCAGACTACCAAGAAAACATATTGTCAAATATGCTCCATGAATAGCATACTCTTATACACACAAAAACACGCCACATTCCCATGAACCGACGGTGGAGATCAGTCTCTTTCACGTTAGCAGATCCTGGCTGGCCCTCAATATGGTTTATCTGGACCATCGGTTGATAACAATTAATGGTGCATGGTCAATCTGTGTTATTCCAGCAGAGGGCATGGGAAATTTACATGGATAATACGCATTCCAATTGATCGAATCTAATTCTGCCCTTCATTGCCAAAGGGATCTCGGACAATTGTCTCCGTAAATTCATTTTTGTCTTAATATAATCTTTAAATTCCTATAAAAAAAAAGAAGGCTAGAATACCAATAAATGACAACTATCTAATTCAGTCGATCAGTTAATACCTATGCGATAAAATCCATATAATTCAGTTAGTACCTATGCGGTAATATCAAGTGTCAAAGTCATTGAATGGATAAGTGGCGATCCATAAAATCTAATAATACTTTACCATGAATCTTTAAACGTGAGGATTGAAAAGGAAAATTAACCAAATATATATCCAAGATGTTAAAATATGGATCCCTTAAATCCACTAAAGTAAACGCCGGCGACACTGCTGGTGTCTGAAGCAGATACAAAGATAATAAAAGCGGCTTTTTAAGGGTAACATGGGATTTACAGCAGTGTCACGTAGGGACTGACACAAGTGTCGCGTTGTGTATCTAAAGGGTTTAGTACTGTTAAAAACTAGTACGACGCCAGACATATTTATACATTAGATTTTAAATAAATAACTAAGCTTTAACAAATGGGATTGTCTATAAAGAAATGGAGGTCACAGTCCTGTTATAAAACTTGACAGCTTAACATAAACAATCAAATCTTGAAGAATAAAAAAATATTAAAAAAATATTAAACAAATAATAAGTAAAGCTAAATTAACTATACAATAAACTGAAAGCAAGAGAAAGTGAAAAATGTCTTTCAATTAGCAAAAAAAAATGTAGGGGTCTAAACCATATTAAATGTACTAAGAGTGAGGATTAAATGGTCTTGTAAAAGATGATGAGGTCAACAAAAGGTGGAGAGTTTATTTTCAAAAATTATTAAATGATGAACACAATTGAAATAACACAATAGAAGTAACGGGTGGTACATCTTCCTAAGATTAGGATGTCGGAAGTGAAAGAAGTTTTGAAAAAGATAAAAATAAAAAAGGCTTTAGGACCAGACGGTATCTCGATAGAGATTTCGAAGTGCATGGGGGATATTGACATTAATTGTCTGATGAAGTTATTCAACAAGGTGTTGAGAACACAAAAAAAAGCCGGACAAATGGAAAAAAAGTATTGTGGTACCTACTTATAAAAACAAATAAGATATACAGAATTGTGCGAACTTTTGGTATAAAAAGATGACAAATCGCTTCTAATCATCTCACACAGATCGCTCATATGAATCGGGTAGTTAGTAGTGTACAACGACCAACCTCAAAGTTTGAAACAATTCCTCTTCGTTTTGAATAGGCATCGGCACACCCTCGCTATCCGATTTTACTTTTAAAAACTCGGTAGATTGTGACCATAACACATAAAAGGTAATTAAGTATAGTAAACACATTTCCTAGGTACAGCTTAGTAAATACTGTTCACATTTTTTAAGTACTCGTAAATACCATACATTTTATAAGACAAATAAATACCATTTAAAGATGAAGACATTATCTTTATCGATATTCATTTTCTTTTATCAATAATAATACATTGTGTAGACTTTATCCATTATAAATGAGTGTGGATTTATATCGTCTGATGAGAAAAAGGAAAACAATGTATATATTTCAATAGACATACCAATAAAGACACAAAACCTAGAACAAATTAATTAAAACAAACCACTAAGTCAAGATAACTTACCCTAAGCAAATTTTTTTGAAAGATAGAGTTTGAAATTACACTATACCATCACTGTATTTTCTACAATACACGTCAAATTTTAAACCTCCTCTTGCCGCAGCCTTTCGAAGATTCCATGAAACTTGTAAACCATCATTCATATATTAGATTAACAAGACATAAAAAATAATAACACAAAAAATAATGCTATATGGCAATTTCAAGTCAAAGAACAAGGATTTTCTCTCATAATAGTTATGGGGATTGTTCACAGCATCATGTAGGCTATTGAATGTATTGCAACACATTATCTATACAATCCATTTTCAAGATTTTCGTATGTTTATAGATTTACTAGATTTTAACCATTTTGAAGTTTAAATTTTATAATTAGATATAAAAATAGATTTTGTGATAATCCTAATAATATTTTACACCTAAATTACATGATAAAATTTGGAGATGCCTCTTAGTTTGGATTGTTTAAGGTTGCACCCTTATAGAAACCACACCCATATAAAAAAAAACTAAAATTTTAATTATTTTCTTTAAAATATCCGTCTAATCCTTAAATTTTAGAACTATTAAATGTTATTAGGTAATAAAGAAAAAGTATTTCTCAAATTAGAACATTAAAGTCATGGTTTTTTTAAACCAGTTTTAAGTAAATTCTACATTCATGATACTTTTTTAAATAAATTTGCCATAAATTGAGCGGGTAGCACAACGTAGTGCTACCACATAAATGACGCATTATACTAATACAAAATTAATTAAAGTCAATGTAGTCTAGCAAAACCACAATAAAGAACTTCCATTATTTGACTTGTACGCAATCCAACACATATGCCATTTAAACTCTGTAATAAAAAATAGATATGAAGTTTAAATAACTTCCATATTTATTTAACTTTTTTAAAATAAAATTTACATAAATTGAGTGGGTAACCTAATATAGTGCAATTACAAAAATGCAACTTCGCTGTTCTAAGCAGAAGTTTATTTAAGATTACAAAATTGCTGTAAAATAAAATTATTTTAAAATATTAGAAAGTATATTTCATTATAAAATTATTGTATTGCAAATTATATTCATATGACATTAATAATTTATCATTTTTCATAAATTGTAGTTGAAGGGTGATTTATTTTCATTTTGGGCATAGGCTCATTTCTTGCCATCCATCTTGATGATGGTGGTTTATTCATACATAATTATGATTATTATAAATTGTATTTCTTTTATAATATCAAGTTTACTAATTAAATTTTCACTCATAAACTTTGTGTATCTTCATAATGATAAACAAGGTAGACAAAACTCATATTTAATCTCAATTGCAATTTTTAGTAAATTAAATAAATGCATTGAAAAAATGACTAAATATATTACTTATTGCCAGGATGAAATATATTCAATGCTTACCTCTCCTCAGTCTACTCCAATGCCTCAAAGCTTTAATATTTGAAGTATACAACACATATTTTAAATACTACTACATGATAATGTGAAGATTTATACACAACAATGAAGACAAAAATCATGTTGATATTTGAAGTATACAACACATATTTAAAATACTATTGCATGATAATGTGGAGATTTATACACACCAATCAAGACGGAAATCATGTTGATACTCATGGGATAAGCATATTGAAGTTCATGTTAAAAGGGTTTTGTTACAAGATTCTTGTTTCAAAGGGATTATGCAAAAAGGGTTTTGTTACAAGATTCTCGTTTTGAAAGGGATTGTGGGCACTTATAAGCATCTAAGCTTGACAATAGCAAGAGCCTCAAAAAATAGAACATACTATATTATTTAAAGAGTTATGAAAGTTTTAGTTCATTGATCATCTCAACATCGAGATATATGACCATGAAAAATAAAAAGATTTTAAGTTTCAGAAATAGTATATTTTACAACATATTATCTACACCATCCATTTTCAAGATTTTCATATGTTTATAGATCTACTTGATTTTAACCATTTTTTAAATTTAAAAGTTTATAATTATATATATATAAATAGATTTTGAGATAATCCTAAGAACATTTTACATCAAAATTATATACCATTATAAAATTTGAAGGTGCACCTTACCTCTACAGCTATGGCTGCATCCGCATGCCAATTGCACCCATCTATAATTTTCCTTTTTTTTACTACTTTCATTTATGGTACACGTACCCAGTGTTTCTAAACCTAGCTCGAGGACCTGAACCAAATGTTTGTTAGGCCCGAGTCAACTCAGATAGCTGGCTTGCCCAATTTGATTGATATTAAAAAAATTTGACAAAAAAGAAAACATGGCAAATAAATAAATAAAGTCAACTTTGTTTTTGGGTGAGAATAAAGTCAACTATTCAAAATCAAAATATTGATTTTCATACATCGGTGCAGTTTGTATAGAGCCGAGGCTCTAAACAATCAAAGTAGAGCACATCTTCAAATAGCATCAAGAAATGTGTTTTCAATACTAGAAATCTTTGTGATAGCCTTAAAATATATTTTCATCTCTAATTATAAATTTTGAAGCTCCAAAATAGTGTAGATCGAGGAGATCTATGAAAAATTTAAAAATTAAAAAATTGACGGGCCAAAAATGCATTACAAGATGTATTATTTCTAAAACTTTAAATCCATTGTTTTCTTATGTCCATGCATCTTGATGTCGAGATGATCAATTTAAGGATATTTGAGCATCAAAACAACCTCTTCTAGTGCAATTTTTGAGGCGCACTCTAATTTGATTGTTTAGAGTCTCGGCTCTATATAAATTTTTTCCTTCACATTATAGAAGGTATAAATCGAAATCAAAATCAAGAAATTTATTTTTTTTTTTAAAAAAAACACTTCCAAATGAAAATGACAAAAGGATTCGCCAAAACAAAAAACAGTGTTTGAGATTTGGTATGTATTAAAAAAAAAGTGATAGGGATTTTGAAGATAGATGTTATAGGAAATTTTTGAAATAAATTTAAATAAATTTAATTAAAAAATGATAGAGATAATTAAATATTTTTATTTTAGGTTAGAAAAATCCCTCAATTTTGTAAACTCAATTTCTTCTACTTTGCTTATGTTTCCCTAATGTTTGCT